ATGGAGTTCATACCAATAGTGAAATTCAATCAAAGTCAATTATTATTTTCTTTTGTAAAATAATTTATATCAATTCCAGTTATATATATAAATATATTTGAAAACTCAGAAAAATTGTTAGAACCATTTTTAATAAAATGTCTTTAAAAGAAAACCTGTTATCTTATAAATAAAATACATTGACTTGTGCACATTAATGTAAAAAATTAACCTTGTGGTGGCACAGGCCTTTAATCCCAGCAATCGGGAGGCAGAGGCAGGTGAATCTCTACGAATTCAAGGCTAGCCTGGTCTACAATAGTGAATTCCAGGCCACCTGGGGCTACAGGGAGACCCTGTCTCAAAAAGATAATAAAAGGTAAAACTTATGCACAATAATTTCTGATATTAACTCATTTTTAATTGCCCATTATTTTTAACTGACAGAATTTATCAAGGGCCAATGGCATAACAATATTCCTAACAAATTCTAGCATGACCCTGTCTACCCAAGGTAAAAAATGGTTTCATTTGCTCAAAAGCTCGACATTCTTATATTGTTTTAACTGTAACAATAAATTCTGCCGTTTAAAAAAAAAAGATTTGGCTATGGCGTATCTATAAATGATGAGTTTTTAGCATACTTAGAATGAGGATTAAAATAAATACCATCAGGACCTTTGACTTGGGTTTGTTCCAGCTAAGTGGGTACTGTAGCAGTTACACACAGTAGTAACTTTTATCAATGTTTTTAATGAAATTCTAACCCAAGTTTTCCAATAATGTCAACATTAGATTTTCTTTTCCTCACTCTACACGCCTTTTTCTGTAATGCTTGTGAAATATGCTGTGCTCTTGACTGGTGTTTAGTTCTTCATAATCTCCATATACAAATACATATTCCATCTTCCTTCTTCAGGCCATAGATATCTTCCTATAAAAGGATCTGGTTATGCTGTTTCCTCCCTGAAAAACGTTCACTGCCTTCAGGGCACCTGTCAACCATAGCTACATGTTAGAATTTCCAAGTGAGCTTCTGAGAACCAGCTTTACCTTAAATAATGTCCTGGGCTCCATCCTTCGCAATTATATTTTGTTAATCGGCTTACAGTGAGGATGCAATGTTCCTGCCATGATAATCTTTACATAACATCAGGGGTTTTGCCAGAATTTTCCCCTTCCGATATCAATCCCTTGCATGTGTCAGCTTTCAGGACTCAGCCCTTGTCATTTTGTAACCTCTTCCTCTGTTTTCCATTTCCACCCTCCTGTGGTTCCCTGTAATTCCGTGAATTACAGCAGCGTGCAGTTACTCAGTTCCCTGTAATTCTGTGAATTACAGTAGCATGCAGTTGCTCTGTTCTGACCCTCCAACAGGTCTAAGGGTCTGCACTGAGCTAGGACAGTAGTGCTCCTTGACCTAGAGTTGAACGTCACCTTTTGTCCTCCTGGCGCAGAGCTCCATCGCTCAAGGTCTCTACTCATGACTTTACCGCCTGCTCCTTCCTGTCTTCCTGCACTTCATTGCCATATTTAAAGCTTCAACCTTTCCTCGTTTTGTGACATCTTGCTTTATTGAGTATAATGTAGGGGTATGTTTTATATGCATTTACAGCAGTGTTGTTTCCTCTTCTAAACTTTAAAATAGTACAAATGCAACAGTACTCCCTTCCCTAAGAAAAATTCTATGAGCATAATTGTCTCTTATATCTAAGTACTCTTAAATTGTTTTGTATTGCAAACTTCAGCATGAAATAGTTCCTCATTTCTGATGTCATTCAACATATCTTTTCATTACGCACTGTTAGCATAAGAAAGTATACTCCTAAGATTTATTGCAATTTAGAGCTAAAGAAGCACTTATATAACTCAAGAAAGTTACAGCCCAGTAGTGCTCTAAGTAAAACGTCTGATAAGTACAGAACCATGCAACACTTGTGGAATCTATAAATTTCATTCATAAGGTTCGATAGGTGTGAGGCATTATTTATGAGATAGCATCAAAGACATTCTTTTAAAAATTAATAATCATTTAATTTAATCAACTCTCAACAATTTATTTGCATTAAAAGGTGTACATTTGTTTATTGAAAACACTTTTAATATCTTTCCCCATATACATCATCATCATAATAAAAGTGTTTTTAAGATTTCCCATGCACAATAGTTAGGGGAAATTTCCTTCTCTGGAAGTGATATGCCTTATGAGACATCAGTAAACAAATGTAGTTAAGGCCCAGGTCATGAGCTCTGTCACCTAAGTAACAGACTCTGGGAGCACCAGAGGTCATTGCTCTCTGAGTCTCATAACTTTGAATTAAACAGTAATTTTATAATAGTTATCTTTTTCTACCACCACAGTTTAATTTTCAAAATAACCGACATTTCCCAATTTTATTCAGCTAGGAGGGAATAAAATGTGTTGACCCCAGGACTGGGTTTTATTGTGGCCCTTGTTTTGCAACCTCCTAAGAATTTTGATATTCTTGATTTTGATCTTGATCCACAGTTTAGCTGTCTAAACATCAGGATTTAATATTTAAGGCTAAGCTTAGGAAGAAAAACATTCTCAAAAGAACATTGCATTACCAAATGGAAGTTATCTTGTCTCTAAATCTTTTACTCTACGAATTCCTACTATGGACGGACATGTCCATGACTACGTAGTCATCACCACCTTTATCTTCATTCTGAAGGTCGTGTTCTCTTTGGTTGCTCTGAAGCAAAATTAAATCACAAGAACACAAGTTGTATATCAGGAAATCCATGAAAGCTACTGAAATAGATGCCTGACTTAATGAAAATCTTTCCTTTACAGAAGTTTGAAAAAGTATTTGTGTCTGAATATCCCAGCATCAATAGTTATGCGGGTTATTTTTGTTTTTAATGTTTAAAAACACGGCACTTTTAAGTAGCAATACTATTCCATTATAGTTTCCACAGTTAACTTTAAAATGTATTACTGTACAGGCATGAAAATATGATTTCTATCAAAATCAGGCCTTCTAAATGGTCACTGTGCTTCAACCTGCAGTCATCCCCAGCAGCAGTGACCGACTTAACTGTGTGCCAGAACGGCTAACCTAGGACTGTGACTTCTGCCACTTGCTAGCTAGAGGAGTATGAGCTAGACCCTTTGTTAAACCTTCCCTACCTGCTTTGACATTAATAGGAATGGAAACAAAAAATGTATACTGGTGTTTAGAAATGGCAATTGCCATAATTCCATCTTCATTGAGACATAGTCCTGAGTATAATTTTATCAAGCTAATCAGTTCTATCCTTTAGTGAAACCAGGAATCTAGAAAATTCAGTTGATTTCTTTATACCACTGCTTGCCATGACATATTTGACTAATTTGATTTGAAAAGTACTTGATTTATTTTCCTGAAAAGATAGTCTTTTCAGTTTAAGACCTTTTTCATAAGAAATCTAAAGAGCTTATTATAAATGTCTTTATTTATAAATATCTTTATTATAACCTTTATTTTAAATATCTAAAAATAAGAGTGCCTGATTTTGACATTTTCAAATATCTCTTTGAAATACAAACAGCCTGAGTGGAACACAGTCCTCCAAAAATCTACGTTCTGTACTAAAAGTGGTTCGTACCATGACTTTTACTCTACAAAATCTATGGGATCCAACATTCATGATGAAATCAGCTCCAAAAATGGCATTGCTATTCTGAAGATTATGATAAAAGTGATGCTGAACCCGCTTGATCTGATGGGTCCCATTCCTTAGATGGCTGATGCACTCTTAGTTCAACACCCAAGCAGTGTGTGATTTTGGTTTACTTTTAGGTATCAGACTTTAGGCTAGACTATGAATCCCTTCCGTATCTCCAAAAGTCCATAGTCTTGTATATAAGAAGCACTTAAGACTTAAAAATGTTTTTTTTATAGAAAGATGTCCCATTTTTGTATTCAATAATGCCACCACCTTGCTCCTCTGAGCACAGTGAAATGGACAGAAAGAGGACTCAAGGAAAGGCAGTTTTCTTTTTCCTAAAGCATGCCTCTGAGGTGTAGAAAACTTCTGACATCTCTTAAATTTCAAAAGAGATTCATAGGCAGATAGATATTCTAGAAAAAGTGTGTCAGTTCTCAAGCTGATCACCTGCATTAGACTAAGTCATGACATGATTTTAACTAGAAAAACATCTCTTGAGCTCTGAGGTTTCATAGCTTTCTTTATTCAAGGTTGGGCACAAAGTGCAATCTTTACCTCTACTTCATACCTTCCCTTTATTTAGCACAGTACTATTCCACACTCCTTGATCTTTAAATGTAAAAATGGATAAAAAGCGGTAGATAGAATGCAATTCACTGTGGATTGTGCTCCATACCATAATGTGAATGAATCCAAGCTGAACTGGGCCTAGATAACTGGGTTCAGTTTGGATCCCATCCTTATTCAGGCTCAGGGGAAAGGCCCCAAAGACTAACATCTTCCTGGACTACCCAGTTCCAGAGTTAGGTTTGAAGCAATATGGCCCGAGAATGTGAAAATAAATGCTGGGTGTGGTGATGCATTCCTGTAACTCCAGCACTGCGGAGGCCAAGGCAGAACTGCAAGTTCCAGACCATTCTGGGGCCACACAGTGATCTCTCTCTCTCTCTCTCTCTCTCTCTCTCTCTCTCTCTCTCAAAAGCAAAGAGTGGTTTCCTTTCATAGCATCCTAATTATTACTGGTGAAGATTTAAGTGTTTGTGAGGCATTGATGACAAGTTAAATAACAGCAACAGCTTGGATGCCACTAAGGGAAGAAAACAGAGGATCCCCTCCCCTTAGAGTGGGCAGCCCTCCAAGGCAGAGCTCTGACCAGGCCTGGAGGCTGCACCAAGGTTTGTCCAAGCTCCATGCAGCTGCAGAGTTTGGAAAACTCTTGCAGGACTGCTGGATGAGTCCCAGAATGTCAACCTCGTTTTCAGCTTACTGGCTCTCTTTGCCTTGTGTCATGCTGACCTTATTGCTAAACACAGGTTTGTTTGTCTTCTTACGACTCATGGCAAAATGGGAAAACATTACTTTTAAGCTGGTTGAAAGCTTTTAACTGACGAAGCACTTTCAGAGAAATGTGAAGCAGGCAGTTAAAAAGATGTACTCGACCCATTCCTTCCAGGAAAATGTATGGTCTGAGTAGCTCTGCAGGGTGACATGAGTGCTGTGGTCCAGATTTAGTCAGACATGAGTAAACACATAAGAAGCATGTACGTCACTTTCAGGACAGATGCTGCAGCTGATTTTCTTTTTATTGCCTTCTAAACCTTAATACGACTCCAGCTATATCCTACCTACTAACTGCAAACTATTTTAAATGAAGCCCACTTAAATATGTTTTCTCTTGTCAGTTCTCTCTGAATCTTAATACTCCTTTGTCTGCTGTGTTTACTTGTCCTTTGAGTTTTTATTATTAACTATTTTAACCAGCAGTGGTTTTAAGCTTTTTGCTGTTGAAGGTAACTTTTGCATTGCTACCCTCCTTGCAGAAGAAAAGCTTGTATTTTTTTCTTTCTTTTAATTAATTTATTTATTTTTACATCCACTTCCCAGATGGCACCCTCCCATAGCCTCTCTCCCCCCACTAGAGCCCTTATACTCTGATATCCCTGCTAATGTCTGCTGTGTTGTCGGCACCCCCAGCCATTCCCCTCTCCTTGCCCTTCTGGTGAATCTAGTCAGCCTATCTAGAGGTCTTTGTTTTAGGAGGGTCAGCTGTTCCTCACCTAGCAGGGGCCAATATAATTTCATAAGAGTCCATATGTATAACTAAAGGCTACATACATAACAAGCAACAATACCAGACAGGCGATACCTTCTTTTGAGTTGGACAGGGTGGCCAAAGGGATTCCCAGGTAGTAACCCAGCATAGAACTGGGAAAATGAACAGCAGACCCCAATCTTATCCAAAGGAGTATTTTCTTCTTTTTAAAGCTTCTATTTTAATAATGATTCATCAAGCTGTGTCTATTAAGATATAATTGTTTTGTTTTCTAAATGTTTATTTTTAAATTTTCATTACTGTTTATTAATATTTTTAAAAAACTAGAGCATACAGATGTATTGAAAGAATGAAAAAAATACAATTTTTAATTCAGATTTCCCTTAAGGTAACAGCATCTTGTGGACTCCGCATGCAAACACTGCCCATATAAGGACTTACGTGGCATTAAAGAAGTGTTAGTGTTTTACTATTCAATGAAAAACCAATTTGAACTGCTGAGCCATGTACCAATACTTTTACAATGACTGCATTTTTTTTATGTTGGCTTAAGTTGGTAGGCACAATTTTTAATTTATTTTAACAGGGAAACAACCAATGAATTTCTATCAACTTTCTTGAACTGGTTTGTTAAGTAGGGATTTGAGGACATAATACATTATACAACATTAAATTTTCTTCTACTAAGAGCTTTACAATTTGTGACATACAGAAAGAAAACTGTATGTGGAATAATTACCAATGTATCACATTCCTGTCAAAACAGAGATGCAACTTGCTTGTTCTCCATATAGGGTAGAAATGACTGACTGGAATATATTTCATATGGTCAGGTCATCATTTGATATGGCCAGTGATAGAATGTGCCCCAAATGGCAGCCTTTCATTTTTATCATTTTAATCAACACCATTTTTTCATTTAATATTCTGTATATTTTAAGTTTTCTGAGGTATGCATAATTGACAAGAAAAATCAGAACAAAGAGGCCTCTATGTTTAAAATATTTTAAAATAACAACAGCAAAAATAAAAACAAAAAAGCCCTTTACACTGACACTTTGAAAAGGACAGAGAAAACATGAAAGTAGTTTGCAGAAGTAGGTATGACTTCCCAACATTATGTGGAAACTTACCTACAAAGAAGCAGATATTTTCCCTTGGCTGTTGAGGAACAGGATGGTCAGGAGATGAAAAGCCCAAAAGATGATGCACTGTGATAACAGTATGGAAAATGCTAGCACAATTACCAGTCACTAACCAAACATAAAATGTCAATACTCTTGGAGACTTGCTCCTGTGGTATTTAAGAGAGTTCTCAGTGTTCTGATGTGAAGCTGAGCAGTTTAGGGGAAAAGCCATTGGTCTATAATCTCTGTTTAGAAGTCAGCTGAGTGTTTTAAGATCTTAACATTTCCAGGTAAAATGGAGAGAAAAAATGGCTAGAACCAAATGATAATATATAATTTGATTTCTGATAATCAATATAATTTGATTTCTGATAATCAAAGTACCACTTTCAACTCTGAAACTACTAACTTTCTGGAGTTTATATCAATATGTCATGACCAATTCTTTTATCTATTCCAGTATAGAACAAATATGCCCTAAAGTAAAATTAAAAAAATAATGTCAAGTAGTGGTGATGATGGCAAAATTGAAAAGTGTTATTTTACCCAAGACTAGGGTCATATCCTGACATGGGTACTTGTCCTGGTGTGCTAGAGTTCTCCGAGAGGATCTGCTGGTCTTGGTTCACCCGTGGGGGCCGTCAGTGCCCCTGTTGGCATTCAGATCAGAAACATGTCAA